ACAAGCAGAATGGAATCTTATAGACGCGCGAACAGAGCTAGACGAGATACGCTTGACCGGAAGATGGTGGCGGCGGTGGAGGCGGCGGTTGTTGGTGTCTCCAGGCGGTTCTCTCCAGCGTGGAATAATCCGAGTCGATCGAGGAGTATATGTGCTCGGACAATGGTCTTCTGTGATCTTCGCTGCTACCGCTGCTCATCGTTGTGTTCGTCGCGATGAGATTGCTACCTGGTACGTTGACCGCATCTCGGTAGGCGTGATTGACGGTCAGCCTCGGCTGCGGTGACGAAGGTGGCGGTTGTTGTTGCTGCGGCACGGAGACCGTGCCGCAGGAATAAGCGGGCGGAGCGTGTTGCAACATCAACGCGGTCGTCGGTGACGAGTCTTTGAACAACGCTCGTTGCCGTTCCTGTGACCGTAACGTCGACATGCTGGTCTTCTCGCTGCCGACGCCGTCCAACGTGTACGTGTTGATGTTACGCTTGTAGACCAACGGCGACGATTTGCTCTCCATCGATATATCGGCCATGGTGTTCGCCGGTGGTATCGCGTACCGTAGACGTTCCCAGAACCTCTTCTCGCCCCACGTGAGTATCGCGGACGCGGTACGAAGGTAGGGCCGTAGCTCGTGATCTCGCTCCACTTCCGAACACGCGTGTCCCGCCTGTACCACGATCAACTGTGCGGCACGGCCGCGCAGAGCCTCGTGGAGGGCCTCTCGAAACTCGAACCGGGACCACTCGGTTTGCAGGAAGTTACGCGTGAGCACGATCAAGACGCGCCTCGACGCGTCCACCGCTTCGAGGACGACCGCGGGCGCGGAGGCGCGTAATACGCACGGTAGATCGCGATGATGCAAACACAATCTTAGACCTGCCGTGCCGTGTTCCAGTTCTACCGCCAACGAGTGCAGCACGAAATCCTCGTCGTTCGGACTGTAACAGACGTAACAATCGTAGAGGCGTTCGCGGTCGGTGTCGCAGCAGGCGGTCATAGGCGCCGCGGACGGCATCGTCGCGGTTCCAGTCGACTTGCCGGGCTTTGTGCGTAGAAATCGTAGCCCGTACTTGGAGTACGCCCAGGCACCGACCGGTTCTCGGAATATGAACGCGAGGACTATGATCAAGAGAAGCACGAGCACAGCGGACAGCGTGGCGGCTACCAGCGGTAGGTAATCAGAGACCATGATACTCTCGATCACTCCGCCCTGAGAGAAATAATCGGAGCATAAGGTCTCGTTCACGTTCAATCTGCGCCGGTAAGCCGGCCTGGCGTCACCGCCGTAGTAACACCAAACGTCGCTCGCGTCCACCACTTTGTGCGCGTTATCGGAGACCCACGAGGACAATTCTTGCAAGAACTTGCAACGGCAGGACCACGGATTGCTACCGAGAGACAGCTCGACCAGTCGTGCGTTCAGCGTGACCTGCCAGACAGGAAAGGTGACCAATCGATTACCGCTCAATCGCAGTATCTCGAGGGAGCGTAACGGCAGGAACGTCAGGTTACCGATAAACCCGATCAGATTGTTCTGGAGATAGAGCTCACGGAGATGGGAGAGACGCTCGAACTCGAATCCCTTCAGCTCGCGTATCCGATTGTCCTCGAGATGGAGGATCTGCAGGTTGTTCAGACCGTTGAACGTGCGATTCTGTATCGACTCGATATCGCTCGCGTTCACGTAAAGCACGCGCATGTTCTTACGGCCGATGAAGACGTGATTTTGTAACTCGCGCAACACGTTACCGTCCAGATAAACCTCGGTCGCGTCCATCGGTATCCGACGTGGTATCTCGTCCACGTTCAATCCGGAACAGTCGACGGCGTTCGTGTTCCACGTGCGATCGTTGTAACACTTGCAGCCGGCCGGGCAGGTCATCTCACAGTCACACGCGTCGAAGTCGCAGCACTGGCATAGGGTGAAACAATGGGCCTCGTAGCGGCAGAGAAACTGCTCGGATCGTGCCAACGAGGCGGACACTATCGCTACGCCGCGTGGCCCGGATGTGCCGCACATCACATTGTCCAGATCCATAATGCGCGGATACTCCCTGGTCGATGTTTGATTGTTGATCGCGGGCAGCCAGTCCATCGAGCAGTTACAGTTGAAAGGATTGCCACCGATGTAGAATTCCGGCAGGGCTCGTTCCTCCGGCACCTTGGTCAACAGCAACGACGTCAACTCCATCATCTCGATCATGTTCGCGTACATGTCCACCCTGGTCAGGTTCACCTTGTCCGTGAACGTGTTCGGTCGCACCACGCTGATGTAATTGTTGTTTATGAACAACAGCTCGACGCTAGCTGGAACGGACAAAGGGGACAACTCTGTGATACGATTGTGACTGGCGTCCAATGTTTTCACCTTCGAGTCACGGATCTCGTAGTAGTTGCCCAAATTCTCGATGAAGTTCCCGTGTATATCTAGCCACTTGAGGTTGCCTGGTATGAAGGCGTAGTCGAACCATTCGATGTGATTCTCCGAGAGATTCAGGAGCAATAGGCTGGCTATACTTGTGAAAACGCCGTTTATATCCGAGAGGAAATTACCGTCGAGTCGTATCGCTTCGAGACGACTGTTCCTTTCGAACGCGTACCTCTCGACGTGCTGCACCTTGTTTCTCGCCAAGTTCAGAATCTGTAGATTCGGGAGATCCCAGAGCATGCCGCGGGAGAGATTGCCGATGTCGTTGCCGATCAAACGGAGACCGGTGAGCTGATCGAGATTACGGAACGAGCCGTTGTAAAAATTGCTGATACGGTTCTCGCCTAGATCGAGGGTTTTTAACAAAGCGAGGTCGCGGAGGGCGTCGGGCACGGACGTAAGCTCGTTACCGCTCAGATCCAGTTCCTTCAAATCGGAACAGTTGCGAAACGCTAGCGGGTCGATGCTCGCGATCGAGTTGCCGGACAACGTGAGTCGATTCAGTACGAACAGACCGTTGAATAGCTGCGCTCCCACGGTGTGAAGCTTGTTGTTGGAGAGCTCGAGGGTGTGTAGATTGTAGAGAGGTAGAAAGGCGTTGCTCTCGATCCGATCGATCGTGTTGTTCCGTAGATCGAGAATCTGAAGGAAGAACAGATCCTTGAACATGCGAGCGTCGATGTACGTTAACGTGTTGTAAGACAAGTCGAGTACGATCAGCCGGATCAGACCGAGAAACGTCGTCTCGTCGACCTGATCGCTGCACAGTCGATTCCCGGCTAGATCGAGAATCAGCAGCTGCTCCAACTGAGTGAATATCCCCTTGGGCAGGTCGCGCAGCTCGTTGTACGCCAGGTGTATCTGTCGAAGGTCCCTCGTACTGGCGAACAGCCCTTCCGGCAACGATTCCAACGAGTTACAACTGGCGTTAAAGATATGCAACGCGGAGAGACCGGTGAGCGAGTCGGTTGCAATTTCGAGGATCTGATTTCTCTGTAGGTAGAGCTCTTGGAGTTGGCGCAGACCGAGCAGCGGACTGTTTTCTTCGAGACGGCTGATATCGTTACGCGAGAGGTCTAGAAACCGTATGTCAGCGCGACACGACGTCTCCTCTGTACCGTCGGTTGGTAACTTATCGTCGCGGCGATTCAAACCGATGTCGTTCATGTCGCGCAAACGATTCCCCGTCAGGTTCAACGTTTGCAGATTGTCCAGTCCGCAGAGTAGATTCACCGGTAACGCTTGAACGTTGCTCTCGATAATCTCTAAGGTGTGAAGTTCGCGCAAACCGAGGAGAGAATTTGGGGTTAGTTCGAGAAAACGGCTTGCTCCCCATATGGCGTTGAACGTTTGCACTGTCAGTCTTTTGAGCTCGAGAAGAGGTTGAAACGCACCGTCCTGTATACGTAACACTTTACACCCATGCACGTGGAGCTCGTGCAAGCTGGTCAAACGTTGCCAGCTTTGCGCGTTAAGGCTGCTCTCGAAATGATGAACGTCACTGCACCGTATCCTTAATTTCAGAGCACCGTCGAGAGAGGAGATTAAGCTTGTAATTGCGCCAGGATCTAACACGCGTAGGTTGCAGTCCGCGGACCGCGTGTCGTTACCACCCTCGGACAACCACTTGCAAGATGCCCCAGCCGATTCGGAGAGTATCGTGGATGCCAGGCAAAGGAAAGCCGCGTTGATCAGCGTCATAAAAACATACTTCGCTGTCATCTTGCGTGACGACGGTTGCGCGCGGCTTTTCGATTAGCTCTAGCCAAGAGACCGACCACCGATCCACGACGACGTCGTCTCTATCACTTTCCAAATCTAGCCAAACTATTTTCTTCACCCTTTCTCACCCCTTTCTCACGTACACACTCGCACAGCGATGACACACACACGCACATACACACGCGAGCGAGTGCGAGCGCGCGCGCGCTCATGCACCTCCTATCACGTAAGTACGGACCGGCCCATTTCTCTTGCCCTTTATTCGTGGCCTGGTGGCGAGGCACCCTGCCCTACGCTCCTCTCCACTCTTTGTCACTCGCGATCCTTTCGGCACGTCTCTTCGACTGACCCTCGCCGCTCCGACCGTTTCCTTTTTATTTCGGAATTGGTTTTTCGTCTATTCGCCCACCGTTATCACACACGCCTCTCTCTACGCGCTAATCTTTCGACGTGGACACACTGTCGCGGCAAGTAGTACGAGCACGCTTTAACGAAACGACAGAACGAAAACAGTCCGTGCAACCCGTATACGCGAAGCGACCGTGCACTACCATACACTCGCCTCGCATCAAGCACTAGGTTCCTCTTCGATTTCTCTCTCTAACGGTAGAGCGCGCCACTTTATTAGAATATCCTGCAAAGGAGCCGGCACGAATAAGAACAGAATGTAAAGCGTAACGTACATATGCGCTGTGGTATGTGCACCGGTTTTTCGTTGCTAGTTGCCGATTGGTGCACTTTTTCTCTACCCTAATTATAACGATTATATATGCCAAGTTGTTAGAGAATGCTTTAATCGATGCTACTTCAAAATTTTCTACCGTGCAAGCTTTTCTACAATTTGGCTGTTGCAAACAATTTGCCAAGTGTTTCGATTTTTTTAACTTTTCTATGCGACATCGTTTGAAATTACCGTCTTTCCACGTGAAAAATTAGTATCGATCTTTGACAATGGTACTTGTCGTATTCTATATAACTTATTTAACGTAACTAGCTGGACAAGCAATTACGTATACTTCACATTTTTTCGTGTTTCAAAACACATGTATTTTTTAAAGGAACTACAATCACAGACGAGGGTGCGGAATAGACCTATCATCCAATGCATTTTTTTGTCTCACGCCGCGGGGGGCTCTAGAGCCCCCTTACCATTTTCGTGTCGCTTCTAACGTTACCGATTCAGCAAGGAATAAGATTACAACATTACTAGTGATTGGAATTTGAACTAAATGTTACTATGAAATTACAAATAAAGTACGTGACAGGATATCTGATAATTCTATGGTTCTATAATACACATTAGATGGATAGAAAAGTTCTATCGTTTTATTTTCAAAGAAAGTAATCTTTTATCAGTTAATATGTGGTGTAGTATTTGTCGTTACTTACAATACATGATCTTCCAAATGTCCAGCTATTTATTTACCCCTTTATGTAAAATTTCTCTTTCTTGCAATAAAAATATAAATATAAGTTGATATTTAACGTTGAACTTTTTTCATATTAACGAATTGTCGAAGAATTTTATTAGATGGTAAATCAGATAATGCGAGGTCAAAATAATACAAGGGGTAACATATTTTTTATCCTATTTTATTCGCCTTCTGATTGCATAAAAAAATTATCATCCGTGAAACTATCAATGATTTTCTTATCCTTTTACTAACGAGAGATCGAGTTTCATAAATAATTACTTTTTAATACAAATGGCTGTGTTTATTATTCGAAAATTACAAATACGTTCATATTTGTCGCTTTGACATTTCACCGACCGGTCATGAATGCTGCTTGCTTGTTTTCAAACAATTTTGCTCTATTCTGATAACCTTCCCTCTATTTTTTTCTGTTCTTTTTTGTTGACAAAAAATATTATAAATGTTTTGCATACGACTTACTTGGAAATTAACGTCCGAATGACCCATAAAAGATTATTTCGCAAACCAATTAGGTAACGCGCAAAAGTAAGTTTACCATATGAAGCAGAACATTTCGATATACAAACAATACATATTGAGTTTATACTGACGGACACGGCAGTGATAGAAATGTGGCAACCGCGCGTCAAATGTGAAACCGTCTTATGTAGGATGCGTTTTGGCTATTACGCTTTCGACGTTACGAAATCTTAGGCATTGTGCGTTCTGTTCGCTTTTCTTCTGATATTCTGTGCGACAAAGATCATATTATATCAAAAGCGAACCATAGAGGGCAGAAATAAGCAACATTTGAAACTCGTATAACAGCTCAGTGACAGATGTTTATAGTTTTTATTAGATCTTCATGAAATCACCAAGGTTTTGTGGATTATACCATATAAGCAATAAATTTTACAATTGTAATACGTGTAATTAAGAGCAGTTTTAACAAAATGGCATTTAGACTCATTTTCATTAACAAAATCTCACAAATTGATAATATTCCATTATACTGTAATAAAAAATGTGGGAACGTAAGTTTTCATTACTAGATGATTCATCCCATGCGCACGTTCTACAGTTATCGAAAAATCGTCCACAGTTCAATATATGTATGAATATATGTATCTTTACACGCGGATTTAACAAAAAAGGATCTCTTACATCTGTTGATTTTACCATCTTTGATGGTTGGATTGTATGTAATTCCTAAACTCACCACTTCAAATCGTAGAGGGCATAACAAAACCTCTGTTTTTTTACACGATCGGTATTTCAGAACATGGGGTATGAAGTCCCATAAAGTGATATGTCTATTCTCTACCTCGTCTGTGTTATAATATTTTATGTTTATATTACAATGTTGTACAGTAATTAACTTTTGAAAGAATTATACATATATATTTATTTAATCGATTTATATAGAATTTAATATTATCATATAGATTACTGTTCTAAAGTCTAAATTTAAGTTATGGTATCAGCGTACCAATTTTCCATATTTTTTTAAATAATTGATCAAAAACATTTTGTAACGTAATTCAAGCATACGAGCATAACGTAAGCCATCTAGGGAATATATTTAAAAAGTGAAGTTGGCGGAGCGTCGCTACTGTCTTCGTACAGTTGCAATTGGTGGAGGTCGACGCTAGAGACCAGTTCAATTTCAGCAGAAGCTTACGTTGCACTCTTCTCTGGCTCGTTTGTAGCGGGGAATCCATTCGTCAACATCTGACATCTTTGAAAATCGTATATACGTGTTTATTGAAATTGTTCGCATTTTGACCGCTAAAATGAGATTAATATATGTAACTTGTATTCTGTTGGCTACAACAGTCTGCTGCATTGCGAATAATAATGGTAAGTAATAACGTTTTGTAACTTATTTGCTTTCTTAATATCTATCAATACGTATAATATTTTCATTTTGAAAATTTCCTAAGGAACAACAGTGTAATAAATACGAAATAACAATCTCGTGCAGATTTTTAATTTTACGTAGTACGTTATATGTGAACGTTCGTCTGTATCGCGTCAAACAAGACGGGTCGCTGCTATTTTTCGATGTTTCCAGAAACATGCGCGTACCGAAAATTCTTTCACTTTATCCTTTCTTTATTTAATGGTTTATTTAGGCCCTTTAATTAATAACGGCTTTTTTCATATACGAGTTTACCATTATTGATTTTACGTTTCTCGTTATTAAGTGTACAGCAGGAAGTTTTGCAGTGTAGATGGAAGTATAAAAAATTACTTAAGTTCACTATACATATACAGTTATTTTGTACAGTTTTATTGAATTCAGTGTAATATTAAACACTTCTGGCAGAATCTTATTTTATTTAAATTTTATTTTATAGTTCATGTTAATGCTAATGTAAATGTTAATTATTTATTGATATTGATGTTTCTTCAAGATAAACTTTTGCATGAAATATGTATCATTGCATTTGAAAAAAATTTGAATAAAGATTTGAAATAGTCAGTTCTGTTTTACTATGAAGGAAATAAATAAGAGATAAACATTTTATGTTACTT